TTACAGATCACTTTATGGGGAGGCGTAATACAGTAGAAAACATAATTAAAAGGAATCGTAAGTGAGTGAAGTAAAGGTGGGGTTTATTGTAATGCCTTAATAAATGATAATAAGGAAATATGCTTAGTTTAATTAGGTAATAAAAATTATTAAAAGACAATTCAGCAAAGAAAATTTTCTGTTCGATGAATCATCTTCAAAAGTTGTATGTAGTAATCATAGTTGCAACAAAATTTCGGCCAACTTCATGTGTGTGTTTACTAGTTCATCTGCTCTTAAGGAGCTGGTTGCATAGATAGCACAGAGAGTGTTCTATCCAAACGCATCTCCGAATACCTCCCTGCATGGTTGTCTCAAGGAGAGTGTAAAGCTAACAACAGTTCGATTCTTGAGTATTTAGTTATATCTGGTCACTCGGTTGCACTAAGTCAGCTACAAAATGAAACCAAACACGTCGAAAGGAGTATGTATTCGCTACATTAATACACCAGAAGCTCTGGCAATCCAGCATTACAAGTCTGCTCTTTAAGTTCAAAAAAGGTATATTCAATCTCTAATTTCACCTTGGCCTTGATCTCCATAAGGTAGTTTAGTAATTTCTTTGTTTATTTACAATAATGTTATAAGCAACCTTTGATGACCTTGAGTTGACCTTCTAGCCGTTATCAGCTCGAGATTTATTCGCTGTTTCTGATGACCTTGTACTGACCCATTTGCCAATGATGGATATATATATATTGTTGTAATTATGATTACGACTGTACAGCTTTTGAAAATGATTTGTCGAAAAGAAAAATTTTCTTCACTGAATTGTCTTTGATGAAATACGCCTAAATTTAAATAGCTTATACTCATTACTACTTTTTATCATTTCAATCAACTAACTGTTCATGTGTAAACAGAATACCTGCAACTGAACCAATCATAAATCAGATGAGAATCAGTTAACATAGATAGTGAACAATAGTTTTAGCAAAGTAACTTCTCTTAGTAACAATTTTATTTTCATAGCTGTGCAATCGCATTTATATAAAAGTTAAGGTGCATAACAACAAATTTAGTTGTTTGATGTTTTTGTTAATTTCATATTTTTACAATTGAATAGAATCGTTAATTACATTATGACGATTTCAGTCGTTTTCAAAGTGAGACATACCCATAGACAAATTTGTTATATACCCTACTTTATGTATCAATACGATTTTATAGCTATAAAGATAAAGTCATCAAAAAGGGAGTTAGCGTTGATGAAATCTTTCAAACTAACAAACAAATTCCTTAAATAAATCATGTTTCATAAGTTAACGCTATCACTATAACATATTGAATATAGGTAAGAATACACAATGTCTCACAACCTCGAAGATCTACAGGGGAAAACTAAGAAGTTGGAAGAAGAGGCGTGGCAGTGCAGACGGGACTTCCTTCAGATGAACATGGAAAAGAAAAAGGTGATGAAGATACTCAACCAAAAACAAAAATCACCAGTCACCATGAAGGGGATAAATCTATAAGAAGTTGTCTCTTTCACCTACCCACCTTCCTAGGCAGCATCGTTTCAACTACAGGCGGCACAGGCACACATGAGGATGTCACGACCTGCATCGGAAAGACAGCAAGATAGGTGTTGATTAATCTGAAGCTAGTGTGGAGATCTACTACACTGAACTGCACCGCACACAGCATAAAGCGTGAACAAGATCCAGATTTTCAACACTATATCAAGTCAGTGCTTCTATGTGATGGTTGAGAGACTTGGCGCGTTACGAATAGCATTTCCAACAAACTACAGACATTGATCAACAGCTGCTACCTACGCTCACTCGATACTGAAGATGGTGATCAGATGGCCAGAACAATAAGAATGAGCAGCAAGGCACTCTGGCGGGCAACCAACCAACCAACCAACAACCTATCGACCAAACAAATATACAGAGGAAGAAGGTAGAGATGGATTGGATTGGACATAGGCCGAGAAAACCGTTTGGGGACATCCGATGTCAGGCCGTCAAGTGCAAGCCAAATGGGAAACGACGAGTTGAGTGTCCGAGGGTGAAATGGACGAGATCGTGTGAGGAAGAAATGAAGGCTTGTGGGTAGTCGTGGAGTCAGATTCAAAAGACTGTAGAGAAGAGAGTGAAATGGCGGCATCCCACTAAAGCCCTATGTCCCACTAGGAACCCAAAGGAAAAATAACAAATATAAATACACAAATTGAAAGGTTAGAAAACACAAGTTGAGGAAATAATCTAGTCACAAACGTAACTTGCTAACCTACAAGTATTTCTAGCCAAGACTGAACTGCATCGAGACTAATCAAATAATTTGGATGTTTATGGGGATTTATTTAATGATTTCAGGTTGATATTCATCACAGATTGACATCAGTTGGAGAAACATAGGAAAACTGGGAGCACACTGGACAGCTGTTACGTCTTAGTGTGCAACTCGTCAGCAGTGCGCGCCCAAGACCTCGCCAGAGCTCGAACCAGAAACCTTCCGGTGTTGGATTATTCTCTAGTGGCCATTAGTAACTTGCTTCGGGATGAGTTTTCCGAAGTTCCAATATGAAGTAGTGACTACTTGAGTCAATTATGAACCGACAGAAGCATGAGATGTCAACCATTGGATGACGACCCTGTGGTTCCATCGCAAAACCCTGGCTAAGGAACCTGAAGATTTTGGGTTCAGTCTTCGGTGGGGTCATGGGTGCCCACTGCCGAGAAGCTTCTTACTAGGACGAAACAGCTGCTTAGTCCTCCTAAGTTCCCAATGTTTCTCCAAATGATGTCATTCCATGATGAATCCCAACTTAAACTATTAATTACCGATGCACTAAGCAGTATTTCAGAGACACTACTTCATTTACTCAGCTGGACGCATTGGAAATAATCATGTAGCATAATTTATTTTTGGTAATGCAAAAATTCCCATTTAGACATTTAGTAAAACAAACAATATGAGCGAAGAAATATTTCTTTTCAATTAGTTCCTCATCAATGGCTCTACACTAATATAGCATTTTCAAACGTAAAATTACATACCAATCTAGTGGTGAGAGTTGTTCAGTGAAAGGTTATCAATCTCAAAATTTCAAGAAGGTGATAATTGGTCAGGTAATTAAGACAGTTAACTAAAGCAAAGATTAATTATCGTAGAAAGATTTTGCGAACAGGAAACCAACGTCAACAGGTCAATACACCCACTTCTTGAGTTTCGTCCCCTTGCAATATAAACGAAATCTCGTTAAATGTTTGGTCCATCGGGCGAGACTCATCTGTTCAGATGATAGTTTTGACGAAGAGCTTCAAATTATCCACGATCTACTCAGTAGTAATGGATATCCAGAAACGTTCCTGGCTAAAAATATGAACACATCCAATATGAAAACCAGAATGCCTACAGTCTCCAAGAAACCATTGTTTCTAAGACTACAATTTCGAGGTGACATCATCAGCGAAATTGTGACACAACGCTTAAGAAATGCCATAAGAAGATCATTTAATGCCGCCAAGTTATGTTGTGTTTTCTACAGCCGGCCGATGATGACCACACGAACTAAAGACAGACTCCCTGACTTCTCCTCTTCTATGTGCATTTACCAGTTCAACTGCTCCTGTGGAGCTAGTTACATTGGACGTACAGTTAGGCAAGTCCGTCGTCGAATCGCCGAGCATCATCCTTCATGGCTAAGTAAGGGGGAAACCAGACTGACACGAAGCTCAATACTCTCTCATCTGATTGACACCGGCCACCGAGTTAACATTCATAATGCCTTTAAAGTTATTTATCACATTCCTTCTCACCTCACCCATCCTCTACGAGTCCGTCTTTTACATACAGCAGAAGCCATAGGAATCCACCTACACAAGCCAAGTCTGTGTGTTCAGAAGAGATTCGTACAGCCTCTTTCTTTGCCTTGGCCATCTGTATAGCTCATTTATTACAACAAGACTCTTCATTTCATCCACCACACAATTCACTATAACTAGTATTTCAATAGCTCCATTATTATTATTATTATTATTATTATTACAGACTTAATCATCTTTCTCTCCCCCTACTGTCTCTAATTACCGTCAACAATTTACCATTTTACGTAACAGTTAATTTTTGCTCTTTAGTTATCATTATATAAAATATCAATTATGTAAGAACCTGTTCGCAAAATCTTTCTACGATAATTAATCTTTGCTTTAGTTAACTGTCTTAATTACCTGACCAATTATCACCTTCTTGAAATTTTGAGATTGATAACCTTTCACTGAACAACTCTCACCACTAGATTGGTATGTAATTTTACGTTTGAAAATGCTATATTAGTGTAGAGCCATTGATGAGGAACTAATTGAAAAGAAATATTTCTTCGCTCATATTGTTTGTTTTACTAATTTATTTTTAACCGAAATAGTATTTAAAATAGTATTGACTACCAGTAGTATGCTGGTTATGCAACGTAGATATCATGAATGTGATAGATATTTCAACCTCAATGCATAGTGTAAGATAATCTTAAGGTCGAATAGATAAAGATATAGCTCCAACCTATGCTTGTTTGATTTTATCTAATTGATGAAATGTAAGCATCCTGCCTGAAAGTTTCAGGAAGGCAGGAATCAATGGTATAATTTTACTGTCAGCAGTAGTAAGTATCTTATCTGTCTACAACAGCTTATTCCAGATATTATATTGTTATCTCCAACCTTTCTTTGTTCATAGACTTCGATATGCTTTTTTCCAGGTTATCATTACTTATGGTATAACCTAAGGATATACAATATCATACCATGTACTGTTTTTTCTTATGCCAGAAATTAGTCATTCGTACAGAGTACTGTAGATCTTCAAGATAAAACTAAACAACTCGTTTATACAAATAATGTTATATCATGATAAAAACTGTCTTCATTTCGATCAATCAACTTTAAACCAAAAAGAAAAAAAGCAAGAAGAAGTTACCATATGGATAATGAAACTGACATGTATCCAATCAAACTTACCAATACCAGCAAATCTAGCCATTTCCATATGAATACGTATAATATGAATATCTTTTGATGAATATGGTCCCAGTTTTGGAAAGAAAGATGATGCAATCAAATATGGTGGATAGTGGGATTCAGTTGAATATCCGCTAGCAACTTTTGCATTCCAATGTCTTAAACGTGGATGGTTCCAGTGTGTCCAATTATTATTATTATTATTATTATTATTATTATTATTATTATTATTATTATTACTCGTTAATGAATACTTATTTGATAAATTTTGTGGTGCATCATACCATGCATAATAGAATCCATGTATACGATGACTTATTTCTATCTTCTCATTCGATGATAATTTACTATGAACCGGTAAACTATCCCAATGTAGGCCAGAATTATTCTAAAAATAGAGTCAAAGCAGATAAAATGAAAATATAATTTTTTGGCTTACAAATGATGTTGCTCGTATTATTGGGTAATTGATTGGACCGAATTAATCGGTCTCTATCGACATATGAGTTGCTGTGCGGATCTCTCAATATTACTTGTATTTTCAATTTCGAAACTAATGATAGATATGAGTACAGGAGCCCATATCCCAATAAAGACCGATCAATTCTGTCCAATCAACGACAAGATAACACAAGCAACATCATATAAATCATATCCATTGCACAAGAAGTGACTATCGTAACCCAGTGGTCTAGCTGATAACGCTTTGGCATTCAAAGCTATCAACCCTGGGATTGAGTCTTAGTGGGAACAACATAGCTTACTGAGAGGCAGGTACATCCAGCTGATGAGTCCCAAATAGAACGAAACGCGCGCTTTAGACTCCGCTGCTAGTCACTATTCATTATTATTACCAATATGTATCACAAACTGAAGTGATTATTGATAATAAGTGAAGTAAGGTTGTATCAGCTCCCGTCAAGCAAACCAAACCGGTAATGAAAACGGATATGTCCGAATGACACCAAAAGAATATGGTCACTTTGTATCATCGCTAATTCAGTAAACTAGGTATTGTGTGTTCACCGTTAAACTTTGAGTCGATTATGGAAGCGATCGATGATGTGCGTGACCCCTGGAGGATTTGTGGGTGCGTACTGCTGAGGAGTCCCATACTAAGACGAAACGGCTGTGCAGTGCTCTCTGGATATAAATTAACACCCATTCATTCAGTATGACAGTTTTCATCTGGGTACAGTTGTTTCTATGATGATATTTCCAAGCTATCAAGTAGCCAAGAATGATTCTTGTAGTAGAACTAGTCAGTGAGAAAAATAAATCGAAACGCACTCAGCAACAACCATCTGCATATTCATACAATAAGCAATTGGCCATACTGATTCTTCAAGCGCGAGAGATCATATCCAGTTGCCTAAATAACGGTGGGTAGAGCGGTGTTCAAACCCGTGACCCACTGGTTAAACATTAACTACCCAAACCAATGAGCTTCAGATTCACATCAGTCAGTGCAGTCCCTTGTCTGAGAGTTTCATAAAACGCAAATAGTGTAATCGTATAATGTCTGACTTTTTCCAATTTGACATGAAGTGGTTACAATAATCATAATATATGCTTCTTTACTGACTGATCTAGTGCTTATTGGAGAGGTGATTTCCAAAGTTCCAATGAGAAGTAGTACCCGGTGGGACAAACCTGGTGGCCGTGAGGAAGAATACTCAACAATGACATTGGGTGACCAGAGGCTTAGTGGTAACGTGATGGCCACGAGACCTGAATGTTCCGGGTCCGATCCCTGGAGGTGCGGAGTCATGGGTACGCACCACTGAAGAGTCATACACTGGGACGAAACAGCTGTCCAGTGCTCACAGATTCTCAATCTTCCTCTAACTGATGTCAGTCCACGATGAATACCAACCTGACTGTTTATAATTTTACAGAATTGTCTAAACAGTAAAGGAGTAAAATAGACAAGAAATCTTCTGATGAACACTTAAAACGGCCATATTCAAAGCTGATTCAAAGGCAAAAGTTCACTATCTTCAACTAAGTTAAGATAATCACAGCCAAATGTGACTTATCGCAAGAAACAGAAGGTATTTTTGCATGGATGTAAACCAGTTTCAACTAAAATGTTTGTGAACTGCCTAGTAAACTAAAAAAAATCTGATAAATAAGTTATCGTTTGAGATTTATGAGGATTTTACTGATTTTGAAGGTAGTATTCATCATGGACTGTTATCGGTTGGAAAACCGTTGAAAACCTAGGAACACTGGATAGCTGTTTCGTCCTAGTTTAGGAATCCTAAACAGTACAGCCTCACCACTCTGCCAGCTACTGAACACTCAGAACCTTTCAGTTTTACGGCGAATGCGTTAATCATTCACCCACTCGATCGTAGTTCAATGGTCCACACTCCGAATATTCTCCCAATTCATCACTTAGTGCGACTTATCCCCTAGCGTCTTCAACTGACATTCACTTCACTTTCGATTGACCAACTCCAAAGGTGACAGCTTTTCATTGGGACGTCAAGATATCCAACTCAAAGCATGTCACTAATGAGCATTATACAACAAGTTAGTCTGACGTTTATGGGGATTCTATCTATCAAAAGGTAGCATTAATCATTGATTGACAACAATATGAGAGGATTTCCAGACAAGACAAAATCAACATGGAACCTCCTACAGAAGTGCATCGGCTCAAGTTACCACATTTCACAATAGTGAACAAAGAATAAGTGAATAGAAAAAGAGTGATACCAAAGTAGAAGTTGTATGAAAGAATGAACCATCTGAAGAAAAAGGACAGTACAAATATTCAAGCTTTAGAAGACATTAAAGATTGAATGCATCTGTGCCACTGTAACCGATTTCCAGTCAATTCATCAAGAATCCTCAACCACCGGTTCCTTTCGTCTCGGAGACCCCAACCAGGCAGTCTACATCTCCCCACACGATTCAGACTAACATCTTCGTCTGGCCACCCTAAACCCTCTTCCAACCTAATCCAAGTTTCCCTAACATGGTACGTCGAGGTAGTCGCTGGCTTGGCGTGTGAGTACATACCCAAGCCACCTCGGCTGATTAAGGTTCAGAAACCTCACCAACTAACTTACGTATCTTGCCTAGTACCCTTCGCCTGACCCAATAATGCTCATTCGACGGAGAGAAGTCACATACTAGGATGAAACAGTTGTCCAAGTTTTCAATGTTTCCCCAAAAAAGATGTCAGTCCGTAATCAGTATTAGTTTGACAAACAAATTTTTGAAAAATCATAAGATTTAATCGTCAACTATTTGTGGTATTGTTTTTTTTAAATAGGTATTAAAATATTCAACCTTCTTCATAGACCAACTTTGTTTTGAGAGTCACATAGATCAGTAGTAAAACATCAGTTCTGTGTCAACCTGCCGTGTTAGTTAGGTAAGCAACTTTGATAAATCAGTACATGAAACTATTCGCCAGCAGGTTCAGTGAAATATTTGGAATAACTTTAAGTCATATATATATATATATATATATATATATATATATATATATATATATATATATATATATATATACGTCTCAGAGAATATTTAGGCATTTCTGATTGTATCAAATAATAAGTTATCACTCAGTTGTCTTATTGTCGTTGTTTATGAATTGTTTTCATTTGAGCAAAGATATGAGTTCACTGAGTGATAGTACTTGTTACTGATGAGCACATACTGATCATTATCAACAGTAGACAAAGTGATACACTTGAAATGACTTTCTCAAGTATTTATAATTTCATAAGAAACATCTTCATTCATAAAAAAATTTTGCTATTTGTTAGAATTATTTACGTGTATTAGGTTACATCCTGTTAGTGATATTTACAAACTTAGAATTGTATCAAATTTCCAAATTTCGTCGAACTTTGGCATCACCTTTATCATTTTGTTGTATCAGTTATACAACCTTTAAATATATATATATATATATATATATATATATATATATATATATATATAATTATTAATAGTCCTTTGTGTTCCTAATGGAACATAGGGCTTCAGTGGCACGCCTCCAGTGAAGCCTCTTCTCTGAAATCTTTTGAACCTGGCTCCACGACAACCCACAAGTTCTCATTTCCTCCTCGCACGATCTCATCCATGTCACCCTCGCATCGGAAGCCCAACTCGTCGTTTCCCATCTGAGTTCCACTCAAGGGCCTGCCTTGGCCTGACACGTGATGTCCCCAGTCGGCCTTCTCAGTGTATGCCCAATCCATATACACTCTCTTCTGCATATTTGTTAAGCCATAAGTTGTTGGTTGGTTCCTTCCCAGAGCTCCTTGTTGCTTATTCCTTCTGGCAATCCATCTGATCTTCAGTAACCAGTGAGCGTAGGCAGCTGTTGATGAATGTCTGTAGTTTATTGGAAATGCCTTTCGTAACGCGCCAAGTCTCTCAACCATACAGAAGCACTGCGTTGACTGACGTTGGTGTTTTCCACATGCTGAGTGCTGTGCAGAAGATCTCCACACTGGTTTCAGGCTAATGAACGTCTGTCTTGCTTTTCCGATTCTGACTGGCTTTGACATCCTCGTCTGTGCCTGTGTCTCCTGTAGTTGAAACAGTGCTGCCTAGATAGGTGAAGGAGGTTAATTCCCTTAAGTTTCTCCCGTTGATGGTGATTGGAGTTTGTTGTTGTTGTTGGTGCGGTATCTTCATCACCTCTGTCTTCTCCATATTCACCTGAAGTCCCGTCTTCGCTGCCCTGCCCTGCCCTGCCTCTTCTGTCAACTTGTTAGTTTTCGCCTGTAGATCATCAAGTTTGTGAAACATTAGACAAAAGTCATCATTGGCGAAATCCAGATCTTCTAGGTTCTTTTCCGCAGTCCAGCCAACGTATCCCCCTCTTCTCCCTCCCCACTGTTGTCTGCTGCATGATCCAGTCCACTACAATCAGGAATATCATGGGTGATAGTAGGCAACCTTGTTTCACTCGTGTCTTCAGTTCAAAGGCGTCACTGAGCTTCCCATTGTGAATTACTTGGCATGTGGCGTCTTCATATAGTTGTTGAATGATGTGGATAAAGGTTTGCGGTATTCCGTAGTATATATATAGCGGGGAAATGTAGACATTCTGAGAACTAAAGTGGGTCAAATGCTTGGAAAAATAAAGGTTGCATAATACTAGAAGACGAAGTAAGTGGATAAGTAAATTCTAAATAAATATGGTACACATATGAAAAAAGAATCAAGAATAAGAAATAGATAGAAAAATTCCAAAAATATAGTTGTCAACTAAGTATTCCCTGGCAAAGGGAGAGATTTAAAAAATTGTACAAATTTCCTCAGGATACAAAGACTAGGATTATTAGGTCGAATTCCTACACCTTCTACCAGGTATAAAAGAAGAGGTCAGATACCTTTTGAAAGATTTGTTGGTATGTGGTGAATAGTCTTGAAAGGATTGTTCTTATCTACCAAGTGACGAGTATCAACGAGATGAGATAAATAGAACTTTCAATGTATTCTATCTGTCCCTTTTCAAACCATGAAGGTAAAAGCTCAATAACACATCTGTTAAGTTATCTAGTAGTACTCCTGTTATGATGCAGAGTTATAAGAACGAACGAAAATACTTAAGCAGTGATAGTCAAGGGTTGGGACGATTCAACCCGAGTGATTCGCTAATAGAAATCAAAAGACTGGAAACCAGATGAGTTTATAGTATATCAGATTGAAAACGTTTATGAGTGAAAACGGACCCTACTTATGCAGTTTACAATAATCTTGAAAGATAAGGAATAATTAGTGCATTTAAAGAGGCAGGAACCAACCAGAACAATAGCGGGTCATACGAAATATGACCCATCTTCAGGAAAAAGAGCGCAAAATAACCCAGTTCAAATAGTTACAAACGGTAAGTATGGAATATAAGTGATATAGACAGCCCTAACAACGCCCTATATAGCTTTCTCCACAGAAGCAGCTAAACTTGTAAATGCACATATAAATGGGATTTCGAGCTACTAATAGTTTTTGTATCCTTTTGCTCTCTTGGTCAGGAAATACTTAATAACCAACTGTATCATTGAGATTTTCCCATCCCTCTCTTTTTCTTCACCCCTTCCATATAATTACTATATTTCCAGGATGGATCGTTGCTAGCAGTGGAATCCACGATGCGCACTTCGTCCTATTTGGGACTCGTCAGCTGGATGTACCTGCTTCCCAGTGAGTGGTTGTTCCCATTGGGATTCAGACTCGGTAGCGATCGCTTCAAACACTATGGCGTTACCCACTGCACCCCTGAGACATGATAGCCACTGCTTGTGCGACGGGTATAGTTTTAGCATAACTGTTTTTATATCATGGAACATCACTCACAGGGAAACAGGTACATCCAGCTGACGAGTCCTAAATAGGATGAAATGCGCATCCTGGATTCCACTGTTAGCCACTATTCACCAGTAATATAATTAGAACACAGGTAATATCGAGGCATCCATATAGCAGCCCGCATGCCAATAGAGACCAATCAATTCGGTCCAATCAACAATGGTATGATACAAAAACAATTATGCTAAAACTATACTCCTCGTACAAGAGGTGGCTATTGTGGCTTGATGGTATGGCGGATAACACCCTGCCGTTTGAAGCGATAGCTCCCGAGTCAGAATTTCGGTGGGAACAACATCACTCACTGGGAAGCAGGTACATCCAGCTGAAAAGTCCCAAATAGGACGAAATGAGCAAGCCGGATTCCACTGCTAGCCTTTATCCATCATTAATATGTTATTATTGTTGTTATTACTATTATCACAAACGATATTTTGAATGCTTGATTGGCCTAATATATATAATTCTTATTTACATGATAAGAAATGGGATGACGAAAAATATTTATAGCTCAAGAAGATAAATTCGATAGTGTTGTATTGTCTGAGCTGGATAGTTTAGGGCAATCCACGAAACTCCATCAAAAGATGTTCACATAGTTCATCGCCAACTAAGAAGTCAACCTCGAAAATTGACAAACGGATTGTCCTACCTTAATATGAAGAACATCTCCGAGGTCACGACTAGATCTTTGAAACCTTTTAGAATCACTGTAGCTCATAAGCCCACAATGGTAAACGAAAATAAATCAAACCTTATCTACAAAATAAACTGCGAAAAGCACTACATCTGACAGAGTGGTCACCCTCTTCCTATCTGTCTACATGAATATTAACTCAGTGTAGCGTTGTGGTATATCTTCGCTCATATCAATGCATACGGACAACTGTGGACATGAATTCGATTGGGAAATTGTGGAAACCTTGGATATAGGAAATAAAAAGAATGCTAGAGAATGTTTAGAAGTTTCGCATTCGGGTCAGTCAGTCATCAACAGACATACTGACATTGTCCCAGTCTATCAACCAATAAGAAACAACAAGGTCAAGTTTCAGGTCATCATTAGAACAGCCAATCAAAATAAATATGTAGACAATGACAATACTTAGGCAGAAACAACCAATCACACACAAGGACGTCAAGACAAGCCAATAAACAAATAGTGAAGAAAAGCTCATAGCTCACTTTTTTTGAAGTTCGTCTTGATGATGTTGTTTAGAATGGAAATGAAAGCTTCACAATTAAACCATTCAGCTCAGAGAACACAACACCATCAAAAAAGAATGATGAGAACTTTTCAAACTTTATCATACGTCAAACAAACTTTTCCAATATGAAATAATGAAGTGTTTAAATTTGTGGTATAAATTTCCAGTTTGATTTTAAAGAAAAATGGTTTGACTGTCAGTTAAAATAAAAGCATAATTTTATGACGACAGTGGTCTTTTGTAAATTATAAAAACAAAAACTATTAATCGACTAATTTCAATGGAGAAAAAAGTCCCCTTAAAATAAAAATTAGGTACATAGAATGTTTAATTAAAAATGTACTTACAAAATGAAGTAAACTTGTCGCTAATTCTGGTTGGCTGGAAGCAGAAAACTCTCTGAAATAATTAATGAATGCCAAGAAGAGCAAACAGATCAACACAACAAGGAGAATCAATCGAATTCGTCGCCATGGAAACATTTAGAAATTCTGAAGTAGAATGAATACAGCATAATGTTTAGACAAAATCAATACGGTGCAATCTAACAATATGTAACATGCAATAAGATACACTTGTGTGTTAGACACTTCTGATCACTGATGAGTAATACATTCTTTTGACTGAAAAATATTTCGAGTGTTAAAGAAACTGGGTGGGATAGACTTCAGACGACCATTATCGTTTCCTTTGCAAAGCGCTTTACAAATTACTACTACAACTACACATCATTGCTATTGAACAAGCATATCTAGTTTGGAGGTTTGTGGAGATTTCTTTATTGATTTTACGTTGATATTCACCAAGGTTTGACATCAGTTGGAGAAATATGGGAAGCCTAAGAACGCTGGACAACTGTTTCGTCCTCACATGAGACTCATCGACAGTGCGCATCAGTGACCCAGCCAGAGATCAAGCAAAGGACCTCCAGGTTTTGAATGACTCTCTAGTGCTCAACAGTGACTAGCTTTGAGATGAGATTTCCCAAGTTGTAGTCAGAATTCGTGATCAGTAGGGCCAACTAAGATGGAAGTGAGGACAGTTACTCAGCGACAGTATTGGATGGAGGTCACGCTATACCATGAACTGACAGAAGTAGGAAATGTGGACCATCAGGTGCCGACCCAGTCGTTCAACGGCAATGTGCTAGCTGCGGAACCCGAAGGTCCTAGGTTCTGTCCCTGGCATAGTCATGGGTGCCCACTGCTGAGAAGTTTCATAATTGGGCAAAAAAGGTGGTCATTACTCCCAGATTTCGACTGTTTCGCCAACTGATATCAGTCTATGAGGAATATCAACATGAGATAGTATAGCTTTGTTAGTATCTGGTAATTGGTCACTCGCATGAATATATATCTTATTCAAACTATTAAAAACATTGTATCACTTAATGTATGTGGAAGTACGCAAAATAAATACAGTAAGAGGATTCGAAGTTACCTTATCCTATATCAGTTAAAATTGATCTGGTGAAATGTTGAAATAAAAAAAGCGAAAGGGTGAAACAACGGAACAGAAAATCTATGACAAGAAATAAGACTTGTAAAGGAAGACTTGTTACTCAATAATCATCCTGGTATAACAAATTGTACGAAGATAACTGATACACATCCAGATAATATGCATAATAATAATAATAATAATAACAACAGTAGTAATAACAATAATAAGAATGGTTACACTTAGAAAAGAAAGTTCATAACCTCAACAACGTTGCCATACAAAGAAGGAAGGTCGTAGAGTTCAAGCAGGAACCCACCTCAACAAGGCTGAGATTATAGTAGCATTAAAACCTATAAACTCAATGATCAACACACTTTGTATGCTAGAAGACCTCACAGAGCCTATTAAATCAAGACAGCCGTATCAAATTTCATCTAGCGCTTATGAGATTCAATACATTAGTCAAGGTAGTAGGCCAAGATCAGCTAGACTGATAGAGAGAAAAAATTCGTTAAGTCTAAAATGACACACCCAAGCCAATCAGTCAGTCAATATCAACATAGAACCAAGCGTTACTGTACAGCAGTCTTAATTGTCATACATCATATCAGAACAACAAGTAAAAAAGCGGTAAGATGAAGTCAGAAAGGAAAATCGCTTAGAAGCAATAAAAAAGAGGAAGGATGAGCAAGAAAATGTTGAATTCAGTATAACGATGAAAATGAAGATAAAGTGTGGACACATCTTCACCACTGGCATCAATTCTGAGATATTTCATATCGCGTCTCCAACCACTGGTTTCTGTTGTCACATAGATCCTGACTAGCTACTCTGTATCTCCCTACATGCCTCATATCAACGGTCAAGGACTTCATGCACTGATGTCATATTTTAGTCTGACCACCCCAAATCATTTCCCAGCTCAAACATACTTAGGCCAACATTCAGCGACGAGGCAGACGGTGACCAGGCATGCAAAACACACGTCCCAGTTATCTTAGTCGATGAAGGACCATAATCTTATCAACTTAATTTCCCCTCGTCCCTAAAACCCTACACCTGACGTCTGCGTTACTCATTTGGTGACACTGTGACCCACAGCCCATGCTGCAGAGGCAGCGGTGGTCAAACATCTGAAGCTTTCTCATGTCCTCTACCTTAATGGCCATGTTTCACAGACACATTGTAAGACAGAACTAACTGCACCGCAGTACACTCGACCCTTAATATGGAATGGGATTTCGTGGCGGCGTCACAGATGGAGTGAGTTGTCGGAAGCCAACTGAGCTTATTTTATCCGTCCAGAGATTTCGTCGGCCACTAGCCAACACATAAAGGCTGATTCAACTTCCTAGGTGATTGAAGTAGTTATTGCACTCAACCACTTCACTTTTTAGTGTTAACCACTACACCGCTGAAGGCCAGTCCCGGAAGAAAAATTTGAACCTAAAGAAAAGTTTAACTAAAGCACAACATGCAATGGCATACGATTACACGATAGGATGGAACAAACTGACAGACCTATAAACTAATTTTACGAGCTGGAGGGAAAGAAGCTTTCCTCACCTAATCAACGTCAGATATAAGCAATCGGAATGATTTAAAACCTCTTCAGGACATCTCAGCAACTTTACTTAAGTGGCCATAAAGGAAGAAGATATAGAGCTATGAAAACAGGGTCAAAGAGTTGTTGAGTTACATCTGATGCATTTATGAACAATAAATTGGATTGCGACCTCTCCGAAAACGTGTTGCTGAACATTACTCGGTATAGCTTACCGAAGGTGAGCGAAGAGAACCAACTTAATCCATATGTGAATACTTATTTGAGTTACGTCATTTAGCACCTAGAGATTGAACTACTCCAAAGATCTATGTTTCCACCACTTATGCATAGTTTAAGCGCTAGCTATACATGAACAAAAACTGAAATTTTGCATTCGAAAATGTTTTAAGCAACCATTTTCTCTACCTTGGGCTTGATAATTCATTTTGGGTATTTTGTAAGTTTCATTTTACTCACTTTGGTATACTCTCTTTTATTATCATCATTATCACCAATTTTCCCTTCATTGACAACATTTGATGCATATTTCACTATTTAGTATCAATTCGTTCCTTATTCATTGACCTATTTTGCATGTTTCAGTTAAATTATCATCATTTTACAATTCTTTGACAGCATATGTCTCTTATCTCACCACTTGTTATCCATTCGTTCCATCTTCATTATAATTAGAACGTAGGTAATATCGAGACATCTGCACAGGAGCCCATATGCCAATATAGACCGATCAATTCGGTCCAATCAATGAGGGTATCATACAAGCAATTATACTATCTGTCATTTTACCGATTATAAATACAAATGTAATGCTTGATAGTGAAGTTGTTGAAAAGAAATATTTCTTCTTAGCTGATACATGTCTTGTACTTATTCATGAATAAATGGGTATACATTTTTCATGAATATAATTTACAGTGTAATTAACACTTATTTTTTCGAATGTACATACCATGCAAAAGCTATTGAGTTATAATGAAACCAGCGATTAACCAAAAATGCTTAAGTACATGCATATGTATGATCTAGGCCTCAAATGAGGAAACTATACCTTAAAAAGGTTTAAACACTTTGGATGTAGTGTATCAAGAAGATGGAAGTCAGAACACATACAAGCTAATGCATGATCCATTACCAATGGATTTCCCAGAAACCTATACACGCATCATTCTACTTTATATCTGAACAGCATAGATAAAACAAAAAAATGGTTGGTGTTTTTCAGAACTGTTGTAACTTGTAAGATTACAAAATTCCCTTCATCGAATATAATCCAGATCAAAGGATGCAATTTTAAATGAAGCATAATGGATGACAGGAAATTCTTTAGAAACTCAAAATTCATGTGAACAGATATAGACCCAATCCGTTAACCAATGAAGGATATGGAAATGGTAAAAAGGTCAGTCAATAAGGTCACTAGTTCAATCACCTCTCTTGGAAGTAGAAACAAGTAGTCACATTCTAGGTTAATAAGACAAATATTCCAATAGATTGAGAGTTCTTTTAGTTTATTTATCCTTGATGTTTGCGCTGATAACTTTGTCTAGGATGACAATGGGGTAACGCCAGTCGAATTGACTGCATGGACTTTAATTTGCTCTTTTTTGTCTTCAATAACATAAACTTCCGGACTTTTCATGCTTCCAGGGATCCTCAAACTTTAAACGGAGAATGTAGAATATTATAAAATTGATGGTAGTGACTAGTAGTGGAATCTAGAAGCACGCCTCATTTCATTCGGGACTCGTCAGCTGGATGTACCTGTCTTCTAGTGAGTGATGATGTTCCCACGGGGGTTCGAACCCGGGACCGATCGCTTCAAACGCCAGAGAGTTATCTACTAGGCTACCAAGCCCCAATAGTTACTGCCTGTGTACGGGTTCAATTTTTATGTTATTGCTTGTAATTTCGCATCGTTGACTGGACCAAACTGATCAGTCTTTATTAGCATACTGTCCATGTGCCCCCATCAACTGCGAGAGAATATTCTCAACCAATTGATAGAAAGATGTATAGAACATTTGTCGTCGAGTTTCACATTGACAGGCATTACACATCAGCTACTCATGGTGCAAATGAAGTACTGAATGACTCATTATTGTACACAAACAGTCAGTTCGTAGCATTGCAGATGAACGTATCTATACTGACAATGAATAAACGTACTGTAATAAATGAGATTAGTGACAGGAAACCATAGTATACTGTATCTGACGTTAATTGATGGTTCAGCTAACGTTTTTGGCTGAACATCTGTCATCAAGTTTAAAGTCAAATAGTAGACACAAAGGAATCTGTAATCTAAATCTACAAGGAGAAGGTTCAGATGACAGTTACGCCGCTACTTGTGGTAAACATTGCTGTAATTGTGCAATGAAGTACTGTTCATTAGCTACAAAGCATGTCAAAACATGCTATTAACAATATCTTCTTATAGTATACTGTACCAACTTTTTGAGCTACAAATACCTA